AAATAAACATACAACTAATTAATATATAAAGGGGGAAGAATAATGCTGACGTTTTTTAAATGAAAATCAAAGATATATAGTGATCTTTATGTATTTTTCTTTTCTTTTAGAATTTTGTATATACATGTGGATTCAATTTTTTGAAATGGTTGTAAATTATCGATATAACCAATTTTGTCACAAAACTTGGCTTATCCTCTCAATTCAATGAAATAAAAAAGAATTATGCTTCTTTATTTATGATGTACATTTAATGAAATTATGATCTTGGAACACTGGTTAATCCATAGCACATTCTACTTATAAGCAGCTCTATCACATTGTCAATTCCTGAAATAAAGAAAAAAAAAGGATTTAGGATCATTAAGTTTCGTGTTTATCAAATATAAATGTCCAGATAGAAAATGAATCAGTCTGCCAAGATATATTCAACATAATTTTTATTCTGATAATAAAAATGTATTTGCGAAACCATTGGTACAATCATCATGTGATTATATAAAAATATTTAAAATATCAAATATTGTAAAGATCATGTGCATGGAGATATATATATTCTAAAACTTACCATAATAGCATTGACGATGTCATTTTGATTATTCTTAAGAGCTTTAATAGCTTTCCCTCGCGATACATTAGCTTGACACATAACCAAATCAACATCCTTCTCTTCGACACCTGTTTCATCCACCTCTTCTTCAGATTCTTCTTGTATAGGAGCAACAACCTATTATAACAAGAAAAAAAAGTATCACAAATGTTAATAGTGCATTTCAAAATAGATATTGTCCTCTTTTATCTCTAAATCTATCTTACTGTAGTGCTGCCACCAGCTTCAGTGGCTGGTATAACTGGTGGTTCTTTGAATTTCTCAGCTGCTGCTACTTGAGCTTGTTGGCTAAGATCTTCAATCTATAAAAAAGATTATTAATATATGAGATAGGTATTAAGTAATTTATATTAAATTTGTATATTAATAATTATTAAATATCAGTCTGCCAAGGTTTTTCAACATTTGATTTCTGTTACAATTTGCGAAACCTGGTAAATCATCACAAAATAAGGAATTAATAAGCATACAATTTTTATTATTAGACTATCATAGTTATGTTTCTTACCTTGGCTTCACCAAATACTATATATGTATCTGAGGCTGGATTCTTTAAAACATCTGGCTTGTTTATAACAAATAAAATATTCTTTGATTTACGGATAGTCACTCTGTTGACTCCTTGCACCTACATGAGAAACAGAATAAAATTATTGCCTTAGGTAAAATATGAATTTTGAAAGATGATACAGTTCTATATAAGACTAGTCAACTAGTCACTTGATAGCAGATTTTGAGTTTGATATCAATTCCAATATATCCCTCAATACATCCCTTAATTTATAAGAATATTGATTAAAAGAATTAAAAATTTGGAAAATATGAAATTATTGTAATCCATTTTGAAAACAATATAAATCAACATATATGCATATACAAATAAGTTTATAAAAATAAAATATTCAATGATTTGCTTACCGGCTTCAATCCCAATTTGCTCATGAGTTTCCTGGCCTTTTTTTCACCACGACTCTGTTTAGCTTTGGATACCATATCAATCGGGAGTCCAGTAACTGTTGTACCAGGGAAGCCGACAGTACCAGGAGTACCAGCATCTTCTAATTCTGGTATAGTGTCATCTGAGTCAGAGTCGGTCGCAGAACCAATACCTACCAATTCCACCTTGGTAGGTTCCGAGCTGGCTGCCTTATCAAGTTCCGTTAATTCTGGCATGTTTAATGACCTATAAAAAGACATTACCATAGAGACTCTTTCTATATAGAAAAGCTGAAATTTAAAAATCCTAAGACTGCACGGTAAAACGAAAGAAGGATTCACCATGTGCAGAGTCGATAGATCATGACCCCACCTAAGGCATAGTTTAGGTCTAAATGATTGTTCGCAACAAAACGCCCAGACTCGCATAAGAAACAATGCAGAAATAATTTGCACGTTTGATATTTCGTGACGGAAAGTCGACAGATCGAGAATGCGATCGGTGCGATTTTTTCATATGAATATCATCGTGGATGAATGGATTATGGCGTCCACCAGAACATTCCAAAAAAAAGTTCTAAGCGCGACAGAATTCTTGTATTATTTGTATTCTTTTACCTAATGTTGATTCGTTGCGACGAACTATAATTACGGATACCACGTTTTATCACCGTCAGATTATAATCGAGATGTTTCGCCGAGACGTTTCACGTCATTATGCGTGAGCACGATAAGAATTGGCGGAAACGGAGCTCCTCGTAAACCTAACGCGATATCATTGACGATAAAATGTATTGCATGATATTATTTGTGCAGGTATTACCGGCCGGATCCTATTTCGCGATATATAACGATCTTACAATGAATTACACGGTGATGCCAGAAAAATCGTTAGATTTACCTCGTTTGATAGTCCGTCGACGAACGAGTGCTATATTTGTCGTGTATAAACTTAGGTCGATTTATATGCGCGCCTATGTGAGTACAATTAGATGTTTTCAGGAACGCTAACGATGGTTCTCAGGACATGTACATAACCCGCCGAAATTGCATACGCTCGCATTTATATATATAGACAAAGCATTCAATAATAAGTTGTAAGAGCAGTCACAATCGTAAATGTTTATCTCAATAGCCAGTCAAAAGTATCAATAGTTATTATTGACGTACGTATCTGATCGATTTAACAAACATTTGTGACTGTGACTGCATTTACGATTCACTATAGAATGTCCTTAAGGCTTGTTCTATAATACGTTGCATGCGGCGTCGCAGCCTCAACCATAAGAATTGACTAATCACAGACAAATGTGGGAAGAATACTTGATTGTGATTGGCCCATTCTTATAGCCCACACACACACACACACACACACACACCGACACACGACGCATTGTAGACAGGACCTAAAGGTATTTTATGACGAAACTAAATTTTTAATCGTATTTATGAGAATCATGAACAATAAAAACATTTAAACTATAAAACATAAGACAAGTAAAAAAATAATTAATCAATAAGGATTATTCCTTGGCTATAGCAAACTCTAAGAATAATCGAATATGATCGATCAATTTTTTTACTTCTTAGGATCTCCTATTGTTAATATATTCCTTCTATTGTTAAGCTAACCGACAGTTAACTCGACCATCATGCCAACAACTGAGAAGTAAATTATTTATTATAGATAAGTATTAAAATTTTTGTTTAAGCGAATAATTGTTTAATAATTTTTATTTACATTAATTATCGGATATTACTTATAATTTCATTTACAAAATACCAAAATACCTACAACACGAAAAGAACATTAAGTTAAAAACACACACTACTTTCTGAGCATTGAATTACAGTTGGCATTCCTGCGGGTTAACCGTCGGTTAACTTAAACGAAGATTGGTGAAAGAGGCCCTTAAGGTCTTGCATCCACGATGTTAGAAATCGATCCGAGATCTCGGACGGAAAAAATTGACCAATCGCGAAATTAGTAAAGTGACAGAATTATTCAAACGCAATTGGTCAATTCTCTTTTCATCCGAGATCTCAGGTCGATTTCTAGCATCGTTGACATAAGGCTTACGTCTTGCTGTTTGCTATTTTCTATTTGCAATGGCCCTATGTCATAAGAAAATTGACTAATCACAATTGATTATTCTTCGACGAAAGAGAATAGTCATTTGTAATTAATTTTCATGAGCCGCTGAAATCGACTGAACAACGCGTATAAAAATAAAAAAATATAAATAAAAAGGATTAGTAGTCAACACGATATACATTTGAAATAGCACATGTCAACAGAATCGCATTTTAAATAAATTTTTGAATGTTAAACATTTGTAGTTAAACTATTCAAATTATAAAATTTCAGCCGCTGAAATAAGAGCGACATATCTGTCGCTACAATTGCTTGTTTTAACAATAAATAAAATTGCACTTTTACGGATTTATTAAAAATTTATCACATGCAAAGACCTTAGTAAACGCGACGACGCATTACAAAATATTACGGAAACGCAAGTCCGGGTCAAGATGATTAAAATTTATAAGTAGATAAATTAATATTAATATCCGAATGACCCAACCTTTCAATACTTATTATACATTGGTCGTAATAATGCATCATCAAAAGGAGATGTTCGTAATTTAAACGTCAACGCATCTCTTAATTAAATCGATTCATTAAATCTGAAGAAGATTAAGTAAAATTAAAATCCTATTAATCCCTTATCATATTAATTGTTATTTATATCTCTTGAGAAATATTTATCAAATTTATAAAATATCAAATATATAAAATATATAAAATTATAAAATTTATAAATATATATATAAATGTGTTGTTTCATTTACACATATATATATATATATATATATATATATATATATATATGCTTTGTTACAATAATACAAGCTAACTTTCATTTTAATAATATTGCTATCATTTATATATGGAATGAAAAATTGTTACCTTTTCACGCACACACGCATGCACGCACGCATATACGTACACACTGATAGAGTGCGATATCGATAATCAGATAAGGCGAAGAAAAGAAACCTGTTATGTTTAAAATTGCATTATAGCAAGATTTTTTTCTTCAAATTGTTTACATATCTCTTCTACATACAAATTCGCCACGCTAAAATTTACATCAAAATTTTTAAATAAGTTTTTAAATAACATTCAAAAATGACAAGTAGGAAGAAAAAAGTACATACAATATAATGAAAAACAATCACATTCATAGTTTTACAATTTACGATTGCGTTAAAGTCGAATTCGAGTTGATTACATGAGTTTTATTAGCCTATCTAAAATCACAGCAAATTGTAATCAAGTAATATGATCTAGAGTGCATTCTCAGATTTCTATTATCATGATACTATTTAATCTAGAAATTATCTGCGTGTTAGATGATTTTTATTGCAACAAGATGCTGTTATAAAATGCATCTCATTCCTTTTCTTTTCAGACACTTCATTAACGTAACAAAACTCATGTTTAATAGCCTTATATCTAAATTATTAGTTAAATAATTAATACGCATAAATTAATTTTTTTAAGTAAAGCAATATATATATAACTATAATATCCAGATAAAAGACGTAATCAATTGAGCTTAAAATATATGAAATATCAAGCTTTTCAAAAAATTTCTGGCCTAATAAATAATGATCTGCCACTGCAGATAAAATAGGCAGTCTTATAAAAAAATACACTATATTAATTGATGTGAATGCGTAATTCTTTGCATGCATAATGTTCAAGTATTTTGCATTCGATTAATTGTGCCTCAAGAATCATATAAAAATAAAACGTGATTTCACATAAATATTTCATATAATATAAATATTTCTATGAAATCTAAGATATTCGAAAAAAATTGGACAATTTTTTGCTCTTATTTCAACCTTATTGCCTTCCATTATACATTAATACTAGGCAAACAAAGATTTGGAATGATTGTTTATATATAACCATAGATAACCTGATAACATTTTTTTACAAATTTTCTTACAAATGCTGTATAACCAAAACTTTGGAAAAAGTCTATAGATTTTATTATGTATATTACCAACAATCATATATCTGTTATCCCTAAATTATAGCAACTTTTCAATTGACAATTACATCTATAATCTAAAGTATTTTAAATTCATCATGTGTTAAGAAAGTCAACGTATTTTATAAATTTGTTTTATTTCATGCGTTTATGTTTTTGTTTTCGTTTATTCATATTCTTTTTTATCAGATTTTAAACTTATTTGAAATTCTGATTCATAAATTCTTTTTCGCCTTCAGACTATTTATTCAAATGAAAAAGTTATAAGTGCTACGATTGTATCTTATCAGATTCATTTTCATCTAATAATTCCTTAATTTCTGATTCAGGAGTGTCAGATGTTTCGCCTGGTCTTTCAACTACTTCAATGTCTGAGTCTAAGAAATAAAAAAAAATTGTTCAAATACTGATATTCGTTCTGATGCATTCATATACATCATTTATTATTACAAATCAATAACAAAGAGATTAAAATAAAATTGTTAGAGAAAAAAATAACAGAAGTATGTAAAATAACAGAAATACCTGTATCTGATTGCGTGCAGGTTTCCAGTTCCGTAAGTTTTATTGTCTCTTCATCTTTATGAGGTAGATTAGCTTCGGATGTATTCAAAGCTGTAGCAGGATTATCAAAATCTAATTTTGGAGCAGAAGGTTTTTGTTTTCTCGCGGGATTCCAGAAACCACAGTAACAACATCTGAACGCTATAAAAAAGATATAAATAATATTTAAAATATATTTTGGTTTAAAAGATCTTTTATCAAAAATCAGTGTTTTCTTACTTACCGAAATATTCAAACTCTTCTTTCAAAGCCATTCCATTGTGTGATTCGCATTGCCGACAAATTAAAGCATAGCGATTTGAAGGACCATCACCTACTAAGTAATCAACCAAACGATCAATCACTGTTCTTTGTTGCGGCAACACAGGCCGTGGTAATGGTGATCCTAAAATCAATTCATTAGGTATTCATTAATTTTTTCCACATTTTTTTTCCATATGTTTAATGAATTTATATGATAGAATCTTAAAATATTGCATACAATATATTTTCAAAAAATCATTTTATATTACGTATTACTTACGGAAACCTACAGGTGCAAGATTAATTACTCTAGACTGGAAAGGAGTATTTGAAGGCTGATTAATCTGTTTAATGGTAGGTGACGTTACACCAGGAGCAGATACACCCATTTGTATATTTTGTGATTGATTCTGAGTCGGTATAATTCTTCTTCTTAATTCTGTGGCACCAAGCAGAGGAGATATTACGGCCTGTGGTGTAGAACGCCGAGGTGTATCAGATGGCGCCGGTACTCTTTGAGTAAGCTAAAAGCAAAATCATTAATTTGACCTTTTGTATTTAAAAATATTATGCTTTCAAAAAAGTAATATCTTTTTAATATAGTGTATATTTCCTCATAATTAAATTACAAGCTTTACCATCACCATTACGTATATTTTGCTTGTATGCTCATAAGACCATTATGACGATTACTCATGAATACAAATTCTAAAATACAAACCTTTGGAGTTAACTGTAAAGAAAGAAATAAAATTTAATGAGTATAAAAATAAACTTACAAAATAAGATAATGTAAATTATTAGTAATATTAATTTTTATTTCTAGCTTTTTTAAGCTTTGTTTATTACATTACTTAATTATATTAGAGTAAATATTTACTAACTAGAATTTAAATTACAAGAATAATACATACACATACATACGCGCACTATACGCGCACGCACGCATGCATGCACACATGCATGCATATACGAACATAAGTGCTACTTACTGGTGTCATAGTTAATTCATCTGGTGCAAACTTTAATAATATTTCTTTAGCTTTTTTATATGTTTCTGTTTCCGTAACTTCATTTAATATCTTTTTCTTCTCTGCAATAATCGTAGATAATTTTTCTTGGTTGTGAGTTATTTTACGATTATAATACCATGAAACCATTTTCTTTGTTAAAAGTATTCTAAAAGAAAAAGACGTGTAATCACATTTTCTATAGAAAAATTTACATATTATATAATTATAATAATAAAATATGCTTACAAAATTGGAAAAAATAATAATGGTGTTATATAAAATATTTGATCATATAATGAAGCTGGGAAGAAACAAAAATAAAAGATGAATGCTGTCATAATGTAAAGGACAACTCCATAAATAATAATCGTTCCCACAATCTTCTTATGTTTTTGTTCCGTGGTCTGTCCATAATGTTGAATTTCTTTGATTTGCTATTAAAAGTTATGACAATTAATTATGACAGAAGTTATGTAATATTATCTTATAATATATACATGCGTATATATTGCAAACGTGTATATACACTAAACAATAAAAATAACTTACTGCATCTAAAATCCTCCAAAAAATTTTCAATGG